AGTAGTTAGTAAAAATATTCAGAGAGTGTTTTAAGAGTAACATATGGATAAGACCAAGCTCGGATAAGACATGATGCCATGCAATGTTTTTATATATAAATAGAGGGAATGGGTGAAGCTTATTCAATGATAATATAAAATGAGTAATGAGTAATTATGTTATCCCTGGTTTCGTTCGATTAATTAAAGAAAAAGTTCAACAAAAAGTGTAGTTAATTAATTAAAAATTAAAAGGAAAAAGAAAAACTCTAATTTTTGAAATAAAAAACAAAAGTAAAGAATAGAAAGATGTAGAAATTGAGATATAAATTAGAAAATGTTTCCAACTTAGGAAGAAAGGATTTACTTTCACTTATAAATATAATTATCTTTGTGATAAACTTAAGAGGAGAGGAAGTTTAATCTAAGCTTGTAAATAATTTTTAAGGGATGTAAACTTTGTTGTAATTCTATACTTCCAGTTAACATTTTGAATCCTTAGGAATAAGTTAATCTTAAGTTGGATGAGCATTTCTTGATTCCTTTCATAATATAGAAGTATTTATCTTTGCCTTTTCTTATTATATTTATTATTTTGATAATTTGGTTTTATATTTGTGTATTGTTTCTTATAAATAATATTCATCATTTGTTTTCTTATTAAATTTTGTATGCACAAGTTTATTTTATTAAATAAAATTACGTTGGGATATATAATTCAAATATATGTAGCATTTTTAAATATTATCATTAAAATTTAAATTTGTATACTTACGAGCATTGAATATATGGTTACCTTTGTTAAATATTAAATAGATAATTTTTCTATATATCAAAAATACAGTCTTGAAGTTATATATATATCATGCGTTTTTTTATAATTAAAACCTTTAAATTACTGTAGATATTAAATATTCAATGGATTGTTTAACGTTGTTTAATATTTTATAGAAAACAAGATTAATCTTTAACATTTTATTATATGATAAATTTATAGTGTTTCATGTTAAATATTAGTTTCACTTAACTACAAAAATATTATTTAACATGCACCTTTGACAAACGTATTTTACTTTATAACACTCTAATTTAGTAAATCATCTTACTAAAGTATTACATAATTGATAAAAAGTAAATACAAACATATAAATATATAAAATATATTTATAAATTTGCGAAAAAAAGAAAAAGAAGTCAAAATTAATACTACATAAACTAAGAGGATTTTGGCAATACAAAAAATTATCAAAATTAAATTTAATTAAACCTATAATAAAATAAATAACAAAAAAAAAGGGTGAATTTGGTTGTTTGTGTTACGTGAAACAGCTGTTATAACCGCTGTGTGTTACCAAACCACTATATAAAGTCCTCTAGCTGTCTGTGTCTGTGTGTAATATTCAATTCAACATAGTTACATGATATCAAGAGTTGATTTTGCGGTCTTCCATGGCCTCTGTTTCCTCATCTTCCGCTACGTCTTGCTTTTTCTCTTCACAAGTTCAACACTCCGATTGCATTAAAGTTAGATGAAGATAATTTTCTTCTTTGGCACTTCTTGGATGATTCTTCAATCCCACCCGTTCATATCACTGATACCGCCACTGCCTCCCTTTCTTTCAATCCTGATATCTCTTGCATCGACAACAAGATTGTGAAGAATTCTTTTTGCTCTTCAAGTACTTTTCTTTACAAAAACTTCTTGTTGTTTTCGTCTGACATAATCTTTGCATAACTTCATCGGCCATCCATCATTCTCCTCCCATATCTGCAATGCCAAAGGTGCACCAAGTCTTCAATAACAGCATTCAAGAATGCTGATGCTATTCGTGCAACTGTGTGTTTGATTTGATTTGAGGGCGTAGAACATGTATATTTGACATGTTCACTTCCATGATTAATCCTCTCTCTAAATGGATTTTCTGGTTCATGAATACATATTAATGCCATTTTTAGACAGGTATGTGATGATTATCATATTTTTCTTCTGAATATATGAAATGTTTTTCTACTGGCTATAAAGGCCATGCTGAATATCATCTGTCACTGGTTCAGCTACCAGGTAGGAACCCGTAAATACAGTCTGAGGATAGAAGATGCCAATTGGCCAATCTCATAATCCAGTGCCAAAATTGTTTACCATTTCTATTTGTATAGCTTCAAACCTCGAAATTGTATAGCTGCGGATGAACAGTTTTTTCTTTCTGAACTGTTCAATAAAATGAAAATTTGCTTATAGGATCAGGCTTAGGGAAAAAAATTAAATTTCAACCAACAAATTTTAATTTCAATGAATCATTTTTAAAAAAACTTAATTTTAATTATTTAATCTTATAGTTTCAAATAGTTACGTTATAAAAAGTTTTAATATAGCTTAACCTATATATAGTTGTTTTGATTAGTAAAAAATATGTTATGAAACGAATTGAAATGTAATAAATCCGTAGTTATTAGATGATATATATTAGGGAAGTAAAACATTATTGTATATTGATACTATATATTAGGGAAGTAAAACATTATTGTATATTGATACTATATATTAGGGAAGTAAAACATTATTGTATATTGATACGCTGTCGTTGAGGTTAATACTACAGGCAACTCTAGTATTGTCAAGTAGTATTTAAGAAAGTAGATAGCGTTAACGTAACCCTGAGTCGTTTCCCAACGAACACGGAATTGCTTTCGAATATCTGAATCTTATGAATGTTATGCAATGCTTATGAATAAAAGTAACAGTTGAACAGTGTTTAAAGAATAAATAAGAAACTTAAAAACAGTTATGATGAAATAGGCTAATTCCACTGCTTTTCCACGGATAATTGTTCAATTGATTATTGTTTAAGTTTCAAATTAATTAAAGTACATTCTTAATTAATTTGAGGGCGATCATACATCTAACCAAACTAAATTCTCAATCAAATGTAAAACCTTTCTAGATTATTCACAATAAATTCAACCAAACTACATTCTCAATCAAATTTTATTGTGTTTAATCATGTCTATTCTTAAATCTCCTAACCAAGTTAAAAGTTAATCAATCAAAGTAAATTCTCAATTAATTATAGTTGAAATTATTACTACCAACCAAAGTACATTCTCAATTGATAGTAAAAATCATTTAATCATATGAAAGTTCCTAAATTAAATCAAAGTAGATTCTCAATTAAACCTAGAAACCCTAGAATATAATCAATATGCATGTAGATTCAAACACATTATGATGCAAAAATCTTTACTTTTAACAAGATAGAGAGATGAAAGACAAAGAGAATTACTTAAATTAATAATCAAAATAAACAATTGCATTAACTGAACATAACCTCAGAATCCATCATGGAATTACAGCAGAATAGCCCTAGATGCTTAGCTCTCCATGAATGGAGTTGAATACAAGATGAAAGAAAAGTGAGAGGAGTATGAGAGAATGAATGAATTCAGTGAAGTCCCCTCTGGGTCTCTTTATATAGGGCTTGATTGGGCTTGGACTCTGAATATTCAGTTGACAAAATCTTTTATCTTATATCTTCCAAATAACTAAAAGATTTAGATAATTATAACATTATTTGGAAGATATTTTCTGTTGATATTTCCAAATTACATTAATTCAACAACTGAATTTTATCTTTTAGCTTTTCTGACTTTCCAAAATTACACAAATGTCTTAAAATTTCTTCTATCTGCACTTTAGCCCCTTCTGAATTTTTCAAATAAAATCTGATTTTGGGCCTTCAATTGCCATTTGGACCAATAAAACTTATATTCTCAGCTGCACAAATAAACATTAGAACATCGAAGAATAATTTATGCACTAAAACTCACTTTTTACGTCTCTTTATTTCCCAAACCCAACAATTCCAATCATCACAAATTCACTTAAAACCAACCATTTAAGCACAATTATCCCATCAAAAATTTGAATTTTAAAGCATAAATGTGAGCATAAATATGCACTCATTATATATGTACAGTATATTCATTGTGTGAAGTGAATATAATTATTTTCTTATAAATTTTAACTAGTCTAACATTTTCAGAACAAGACTTATTCAATTGAAAAATGTAATAAAGTATTTTATTAAATTTTAATATTAATGTTTTAAGAACTTTGTAAATATTTTTAGGGTTAAACATGTTTTTTAGTCCTTCAACTATTAGACGAGTTTAGATTTAGTCTCTCTTTCAAACTTTGATACACTTTAATCCTTGTTCTTAAGGAAACTATACATTTTCGTCATCCAAAACCAACGTCGTTAAAAATAGGCCGAGCTGACTAACGTCTGGCCACGTTAACATCTTTCATTACTAACGTTTGCCACTTGTGATGACATGTTTTATGACATGTGGTCAGTGAGTAATTCAATTGAAGGAAATTAGGGTCTTCTTTTTAGTTTTCGTTCATTATCAGCTATGTGCTTGCTATCCAATTTTGTTCAAACTGAACCAACAACACTCCAACAGTTCAGCTTTAATAGCCTTGGCTTGGTTCGACCTAGATTGGCTTTGTTCGGCCTAGATTGGCTTTGTTCGGTTTGGTTTGAACTGTTCAATTCAGTTTAGATTAGTTCGTTTTTGTTCAATTCTATTCGGTTTAGCTCGACTCGATTCAGTTCGACTTAATTCATTTCATTTCAGTTTAGTTTAGTTCTAATAAGTGTATTTTGGTTAAATTCGAGTCGGCTTATTTTAGTTCGATTGAGTTCATTTTAGTTCAATTTAATTCAATTGATTTATTTTGATTAAATTCAATTTGACTCAAATCAAATTAATTAAATTTAATTTATATCGGTTTGATTTAACTCGACTGCAAAAATAATAATACTATGTGATATATAATGATACTGACCAAATATATCATCAGAAAAAAAGGCAGAATAACTATTTCAAGATTTTTTTTTATCTAGTTAAAAACCTTTTTCTAAGAAATAATTATAAACTTGAATTATACGTGTCATCAGGTAAAAGGTTGAAGCACATGCAACTGTACAGAAGAAACGGTGAGGTTATCAAATTGCAGCTTCTCCTTGGAAAAGAAGATATAGCTTTTGGAGAGAAGAACGACAAGACAGGGACAGGTCTCCTGGCGGTGTTGTAGTTTGTTCAATTACCTAACAAACAACAAACACAAACCAAACCCAAACCTTGAGATTTTTCACTCTCTCTTCTCTTACTCTATTCATTTATTGGCACAGCACACTTTCATTCATATCTCTCTTTGAGAACCTGGTTATTTCTCACAACTTTAACTTTAGTACTTACTTGCCCAATTAACTATTTCATATCATATGTTAAAAAGCTCTCAACTTTAAAGCTAACTAAAAAGAAAAGCTCTCTGGGTAAGAAGAAAGCAGCAGCTAAACTGATCTTCGGTATTGGGTTGCAATTGGAATGCCGAACCTCTCCCAGGTTCATCAGTGAATGATTGGCATCTTCCTCGTGATCTTTGTCTTTGTTCCAGGTAAAAATATATTTTTTAATTACTACTACTGTTGTAGTCTTTTCTCCAAGTGTGTGCTACCTTGGCCATGAATCATTAGTGCTTTAAGTTTTGTTTTAAGGTTTCACTTTTTACTTTCGCTTTCGTCTTTGATTTGCCTTAATCAAGATCTGATCATTTGGGTTGCGGACACGAAGACTATAATTCTTTTTCATTTTCCTCAGTTCCATTTCTTTGAACTGACATTGGAATTGAGTTAAGTGCTGAACTATCTCGCCTTAAAATTTTTGCTGTAGCAGGTCGCTCATGTCATACAGGTGGTTCATAATTTGGTTGCTAGGCATTTAGTTTAACACTGTTCTTCTAATTCTGCCACAACATGTGAGTTTCATCTCTTGCTGAGATCACTTTAATTGTCCTATCTTGGATGATGTTTTATATAGGACAAATTCTGAGTCTTGTGATGGCAACTAATTTTGTGTGTTGTTGATCAATTAACTTCCACTTCCCTTGTGAAATTACATATACAATGGCTAACAGTCTTATGCAATATGGAACCCATGTTTTAGTTTATAGTACTATATTATGTAGTGCTATTCTTCCAAGGCACTAATGCTTATTCTCTGTTTGGTATTCAATTTGGATTTATTATTATTTAAGGTTATATTTTGTCTCTTTGCTGATAGATCTCGTTTGTTTCTAGTTAGTGAAAATGGATCTAATTTAGTTTCAATTGATATTTATTGTGGTCAATGTTTGCTTTCTAGTCTGAAGTATCTTATCAATTTTATATTTTATTGAATTATGACATTATTTATGCAGAAAAAAAAATGGCAGCTCTGGTCATTGCTGCAACAAGTGAGAAACTGGCTGAAACTGATTGGATAAAAAATATTGAAATCTGTGAATTAGTCGCTCATGATAAAAGGTACCCCACAACTTTATTTTAGTTATGCGACGTTCAAGTTTTGTGGCATCATAAATGTGCCCAGAGTAATCCTGGGCTACAAGTAATGTGGTTGTTATTGAGCATCCTTTTTTATTTCCTCTGAATATTCAGGCAGGCTAGAGATGTCATCAAAGCTATAAAAAAGAGGTTGGGTTACAAGAATCCTAATATTCAACTTTATGCAGTTTTGGTGAGTATAGCAACTCGTGGATTTGTCTGTTTATCGTATTATATGTGAATTTTCTAGATAGTCTTTACTACACCCACAACTTATATGAAGATAATTTGGCATGACATTTTTTCAGCATACCTTAAATGAAAATTGGCTATGCGATTTTCTCTTCTTGAATATTTATATTACTTAGTTTCCTATACGTGTAGTACTAACTTGTGTATCATCTGTTGATTTTCTAGTTGCTGGAAATGTTGATGAACAATATTGGAGATCATGTTCACCAGCAGGTGATTGATACAGGAATCATCCCTATTCTTGTAAAAATTGTGAAGAAAAAAGTGAGTTTTCTCCACAGACTATTGTTCTTTATCAAAGTTATTTTTTCTTACTCCCTGTCTCTCTCTCTCTGTTTTTTTCTTCTTCTTCTTCTTCTTTGCATACAGTCAGATTTTCCTGTAAGGGAGCGGATATTTCTGCTACTAGATGCCACACAAACATCCGTTGGCGGTGCTTCTGGAAAGTTTCCACAGTATTATAATGCATATTATGATTTGGTGGTAGGTACAGATATGTGAAGTACAACCCTGAGATTTCCTTAAGATTCTGATATATATTATTTGATTAGTAATTGGCAGCTAGACTATTCCCCTAGCAGAGTATGGAAAGAAGTGAAGTAATTTAGGCATTATGGGTTTTATAATGTGAGGTTTTGGTTTTTACTGGAATGAATAATGAAGAAAGAAGCTGATATAGCACACCCTATTCTTGAATTCATATTTGAAGAAGATAGTTAGTGCTAACTTGCATATACTGAATTTGGGTATGGTTTCCAGGTCATATGGTAGTCTTTGATTTTGGTATAAAGGTTATATTAGAAGTTTGTATGAAGCTGGAAGAATAATCTCAAATTTGTTAGGTTAGCAAATGATGTTATTTTTCCTTTATGGGTGGGCCATAAATATGCTGTAAATTCCCTTTCAAAGGCCTTGAGGATCTGTAATTTTTGCTAATAAATTTCTCTTTCTGACCATTTTTTCTACCTGAATTATAGATAGTCATGACTCTCGTATCCCCTTTCTGTTTATTTTTTTTGTGTGACAGAAATGATCATATGGAAACAACTTTTTGTCATACTAGTTTATTATTTGGCAAAATTAAACTGTGTTGCTCTTTTCCAGAGTGCTGGGGTGCAGTTTCCTCAAAGGGATCAAGTGACCCCATCAAATCGTTCTAATTCTCAACTTAATGGGATTAACAATGTACCGAACACAGATCAGGCCCCGACCAGACATCAGCAAGCAGAGTCCCAAACGGTTGCTGAATCTAGGTGACTTATCTTCATCTTTGGTATGCTTATGGACAGATTCTTTAGAAATCCTTCTCTTACTAGATAAGCATGGATGTACTGATCATTTTTATCAAATGAAACAATGAAAAGAACTACATTTGAAAATGTATTTTCATTAGATTCTTTCTGCTAGTGCCCCCCACCCTTTTTTTTGATAAATTCAGAAGCATGGACTATTCTTTATCTGGAGACCTCTCCACTGAGCTGGTGGAGAAGAAGAAATATTACTCTAAAAATAGTTTGTTGATGTCATTTTTTTGATCCAGCTAAGCACATCACTTAATCTGCAATTATTTTATTGATCCAGATAAGCACATCTCTTATTCTGCAATTGTGTTTGGCAGCATTATACAAAAGGCTAGTAATGCGTTAGAAGTTTTAAAAGAAGTCCTTGATGCCATTAATGCCCAGCATCCTCAGGTGAGCCAAGGACCTGTCATCCTGAAACCATATTTTTCTTTCTAGAATATGACTTGTTCCTTATTTTTTATTCATACATGAATTATCTTAGCATCCACACATCCTACTATGTTTGTTCAACTTTCAGTCAAAGTAATAGTCTTTCTCATTTGTTTTGCTTGGTTGAGATTGACAACAAGGGCGGAGATTGAATGGCCTAAGATAGTGATTGATGATGATAAACAGAGCTAGTATAGAAACATTAAGAACTTCTTTTGTATAACAAATTCAAAATTCAGTGAGGCATATGCTTTCAATAGAAAGGAACTGGACAAATCGCTATGATGTTCTTGAAATATATATTTTATTGTGAATCAAGTACCCTGAGATATATATGAATGAACCATGAAACAATCACATTTCATCTTTAGCTGAAACTATATTTTTTTCTTTCCTAGGCAGCAAAAGATGAATTCACTCTTGATCTTGTTGAGCAGTGTTCATTTCAGAAGCAAAGGGTAATGCATCTTGTGATGACTTCTCGGTAAGGCTGCTCCAAAATTATCTTTCTGTTATAAACATATACAATTTTTTTTCTTATTTCTACACTTGAAATGTTAAGAGGGTTGATTGTAATGCCTTTGCTTCTGGTCCGTGGTATCTTAAAAATTTTGCTGATGCTTGATCAATTTCAATGATTCATATGCAGTAGATTTTTGTTATTAACTAAGAGAAAACTAATTTTTAGTTTTTTATATTGCTTGTTATTTTTGACCAAGTAAGCCGAATATTAGATTAACATGCTATTTACTTTTTCAGCTAATATATATATATATATATATATATATATATATATATATAATATAATATAATATAATGGAAACATTGATGTATTTAGGGGAAATTACTAATGAATAATTCTTAAGAATGTTAAGAAAATAATCCATAAGCAGCTACTCATGAATCATAATTTTAATATAATCAATTGCTCGAATGGTTATTTGATCTGAAACCGGCAATATTTTTATGAACTTCTTTTAAAGAAAATTTGAGTAATACTAATGTATTTTCACATGAATGCCTCTTTGTTCAATGTTAAATTTTTACCATGGACTGTTTATTCTCTGGTTGTATGTAGTGATGAAAGGATAGTTTCTCGAGCAATTGAATTAAACGAGCAACTCCAGAAAGTTCTTACAAGACATGATGCACTTCTTTCGGGCAGAGCCATGACAATAGCTAATCACTTGGAGTGTGAAGAAGCAGAAGAGGAAGAAGAACCAGAACAGTTATTCCGGAGGTACCTTGTATATTCTTCATCAAAACTTATTCCCTTCTTACCAAGGATGAAACAGTATCATGAATATCCCTTTCCTTTTCGTTTTATTTATTTTACCCAATGAATTTGATTCACTTTAGTTCTTTAGTTTCTTTTCCTGTTAAGTGATTATTAAAAAAAAGGAAACTTCAAACCGAGCTTATGAGTATAGTGTGAAGGTGGGCTAATAAATTTGTTATGAACAATGGTGGTAGATTACGCAAAGGAAAGGCTTGCGCAAGGCCTGAAGATGAAAACAGGGAACCTGAGTTTCCTCACTTTGGTTTGCTTGAAGAGAGACTAAATCGGCCGTTAATAAGACCACTATCTTTGGAGCCATCTCGAGAAGCTAATAATTGTCCTGCACCTGCTGTGATTCCTCCTCACATGGCAATTCCACCACCACCTTCAAAACACATTGAGAGGGAGAGATATTTTCAGGAAAATAAAAAGGATGGTGCTACTTTGGCTGGCCACTTGAGAGGCCTTTCCTTGCATAGTCACAATGGCAGCAGCTCTCACAGTGGAAGCTTTGATTTTAGTGATTGATCTTTTAACACAAACACATCTTTTTTAACCTTCTACGGTATTGGAATTGAAGTTAGTGATTTCTGTGCAGTCCTTTTTCGTGTGTTGGAGTGAGAGATGGGGGGTTATAGCTTATAAGCCTGCTTCAGTTTGTAGGGATGCATGTAATTAAGGAGTTTCTGAGATCATGTGCCATGAAACCCGAAGTTTTGTAAGTTCCAAGTCCTAGTGTGATAATGTTTTTTCTTTTCTAATCTCTAGGAAACTATAAAATATTTTCTTCTCTCAACTTACAAGCTCTTAATATATTTTTCTTACACCAACTGTTACTTAGTTGTAATTGGTTTTTATTTTTCTGTTACTGATGGAGATCTATAACATTGTGTCTGCATCAAGAGTACAAGTTCTTCGGAATTTCACTCAAACTCATGAGAACTTGGGAAACTCATTCACAAGCATCAACCAGGTAGTTCCATCAATACCTTTTTGATGACCTCAGCCACAACTTCTTCAAAGATCACCAACCTCTCTCACTCATACCCCTTTTTCTTCATCACTCTCCCTCCTTCAAATGAACTAACACTACTCCACTACTTCACACCTTCTAAACCATATCTTCCACCTCCACAAGCCTGGCTCTTAGTGACCTCCACCCCACGTGAAAACTTGAACACCCTAATCCCCAACTATTGCTACCTCAGCTTATATGCTTCTCTATTCTTGCCTTCATCCTCCATTGTCCCTACATTCACATCACCACCAGAGTTTCCATGACCTTAATAGCGCACAATCTATGAGTTATACGAAATTGGATTTATGGTATAGTGCTATGAAAGATGAGATGAAGTTTATGACATTTAACCAAGTGTTGAATCTCTTTGAATTGTCTCATGCTATAAAAGTCATTGGATGTAGATGGGTCTTTAAAACAAATAAAGATTCACAAGGCAACACTGAGATATAGATAAGCCTACACTTGTAGTCAGAGGGTTCGCTAAAACACAAAGAATCAATTATAAGGAGATATTTTCTTTTGTATTTAAGAAAGATTCTTTATGAGTGATAATGACGGTAGTAGCTCATTTTTTATTTGAAGTTACATCAAATAAATGTGAAAACGACACTCCTTAATTGTGATATATAGGAAAGGTCATATATGAAACAACTTGAAGAATTCTTCTCACTGATAATGAGCATTAGTATGCAAGCTTAATAAATTCATCTATGAATTAAATCAATTCACATGCCAATAGTATTTACAATTTTACTAGAAGGTTAGTGGAATTAAAATTTGCCTTCTTGTTTTATTTTATATGTGGATGATATTTTGTTTGCAACTAATGGCAAGAGTATGATACTATATGAAGTGAAACACTTTGGTTTGAAGGATTGGGTGAAATATTTTGTCATAGACATTAAGTTTCGTAGAGAAAGATCTTAATATATTCTAAGTTTGTCTCAAGAGTGTTATATCAACAAATTTTTTACGAGGTTTAACATGAAAAATTATTTAGTGAAAGTAGCTTCCATTATGAAAGGTGGTAGACTAGAATTATGAATCTTGATTATTCAAAACAGTTATGAATCGTTTCTGAACGTCCAGTTTTCAACTATATTCAACTCATCATCATGTTCTCTATAAAAAACAGGATTGAGTAAATTGAATATATCTCCGTAAATTTGTTCCGCACATGAGAAATTTATGGTGGATAAAATTCTATAGTTGTGAGGGTTTGGAAGTTAGAAGCACAAATCAAAATACTCGTAGCTGTAAAAGCAATGGTTGGAGGTTTGTTGTTCATGACCTCAACCTTGCTTGTGGTTAGAGATTATAACATACATAGTTTGGAGTGCAAAAAGATAGACAAATACATATTTTGTAACTGGAATACAATCAAAATCAGTAGCACGTCTACAACCAATATGTTCTTATGGTTTACTAGCCGGGAAATGTAAACCAAAATGAACAAGAGTTTATGCAAAACTCCCTTTTTTGTTAACAAAATAGTAAAGCTTGCAAAGTCTCGAGCCGAAAGGAAATTGTGATGTCAAAAACTCTGCTTTAGATACATACAAGAGGTACTATACAAACCACATCACTATACATTATTTTTCTCTTGTTTCCATCCACAGATAATGTATCTAAACTACATTTGAGAGCTCCTGAGTGCATGCCTTCCATTTTAAGGGACATATGTGATGCTAATGGTGTATACATATACAAGCAAAACTAAATTTCACTGCCATGGAGGGTAGGTGAGGATTAACTCACCTAAACAAGGGCAATATTCCCCACTGGTGCAGAAATCCCTCACCAGTGGAGACTTCTAAAAACAACAGAAGAAGCACAGCAAGCATAGCAGCTCTTCCATTCCAAGTTTCAGCACTTTTGGTCCATCCCCATTCCCACACAATTACCGGTGGTGGCAACTCCCTACGCTGTGAATCATATGCAGCCAATAACTCTTCTACGCTGCCCAGTGGAACCAAAGACTGCCAAAATCTTTCTATTAGAGAAAATGAAACAAGTATGAAATGAAATTGCAAAATACAATATCACTACACCTATTGGCTCAATTTCTATCAACAGTTTACTGAAATGGAAATTGTCTAGGTCTGTGCTTCTATACAACTCAATAGAGAACGCAGAATAAGATAACTCTTGCTATAGTACAAAAATGATAATGGTACCTGTCGAGCTTCAAGGTTTGAAACTGCCATTGCACCAACATAAGGGAGACTCTCAATTACGGCATCTGCCAAATCTGAAATGAAGGTGGGTTCAGTTCCTAGAGCAGGAACACGACCCCATTTTTCTATACCAGAGTTTAGAGCCAATTCTTTGTACTCTACATCAATTTCTTCTAAAGTTTCAATATGCTCGCTGACAAAGCTGTGAATCAACAGATTTTAACAAAAGACTAGTCATATAGGTATCAAACAAGGGCACAGAAAAAGAGAAGGCAGCAAGCAACCATATAAATAGTTGTAAGAAAAGAAACAGTAAACATAATGAAGGCCGGTGTCACCTAATTGGTACAGCCAGCAGACTTTTTACTCCCTTTTTCCCAAGTTCAACTATTGTCTCATCTGTATAGGGCTTTAACCATTCCACAGGTCCAACTCTACTCTGTAACAAGAATTATAGCCAATTGTTAGAAATTTGAAAAATGATGTAACTAAAGAGAATAGCCAGGTTTGGTTGTGAAAGAGATTGGTATAGATTTATTGTTTGAGATAAGTTATCTAGTTGACCTATTAACTTAGATGAGCAATCTAGTTTTCACACTTTGGCTAGAATACTGTTTCCTAGTACTCACCACATTCCCCCAAGATCTTCTATCAAAGAGGTATACATTTTGCAAAGATCTTTCTTTATGTAATGACAGGTGAATCACATGAACTGTTCAGAATATTATTTCCATTTTAATCACTCATTTTCTAAGAGAAATACCAGTCACAATTTTGGGGAGAACTCTATCAATAGCCTTATGCTTTATATACATAAACAGTAATCTCACTTTAGAGTCTGGTTTTTTTACTTTCTTGTGCTGGATATTGCCAACCGTGATAGAAATGTCCATTTTTGGATAGATGTTAAGGTTCCAATTTCAGTAAAACATATTCCATATACATGGATAAACCCCAGTAAACTTTTTTTTTTCATTTTTCCTTTTAACCACAAATCAATATCATGCAGTGATAATTTGGTAACAGAAAACAAGAATAATTAAAAAATAAGTAGTGACCTGATAAGCAAGGGTGTATGCATTAGTTATCTTTCTGTTTTCAAGCTCTTCCATGATTAAATCAACACATTCCTCCATCTCTGCTTTGTATGGATCACCAGCCTCTTCTACATAGGCAAGAGGCACTCCATGTGCACTAAAGAATATCATGACCTTCAACATGCATCAAATTAATTACTGTCAGCAACAAGTGTATAAAAAGCAGTGACTGCCAAAAGCTCAAGGTGAGCTCAAGTACAGGAAAAACTTCATCAGCATTACAAAACAAAATATGAAGATAACCGAAGTTGTTAACAGAAAAATTCTGATAAAAAAGAAAAAATGTATAATACACTTCACATGGTAGATCATGTCACTCTCAACGGTCATCATTCACTAACCTATCCAGAAATATCTGATATGCTGACTACATAAATTCTGCTATAAATATTCAAAGAAGAATGATGATGACAAGATAAAAATGTTTGGGACCAACACACTTGTCTACGTCACTTAAACATAAATAATGCTGTACCTTCTCAGGAAAGTCAAAACCTTTCAGCTCTTTTTCAATTAAATTTGCCATCGCATTAATGTATCCTTCACGCTGGTACCATGAAGGAATTACCGTGTGCTGCATCTTAACTAGATATTCATCCTCTCTGAAGAACCAATACATACATAATTCATAACAAAACTGGATGTTGGATAATTTGAAGCATATTGATGTGATCAAAGTACATTTTTACTAAAGCAATCACCTGAATATACTCTCTAAGAGACGAAGACTTGAACCACTGGTCGAAATTGAAAATTGTGGATAAAGTGGAAGCACAACAAGCTTTGTAATTCCATCTCTTTTAATCTACATGATGTATATTATTTCAAAGGAAAAATTAATTAAGATTGGATTGAAAATATATCAGAGAGACAAATGATAAATGAAGCTATATTCATTACGTAGACAAATATCAGTTCACCTATGTCAAATTATATCATGTTTCCTCCACCCTGTTTCCTATATACTCTCCCCAAATGAGTAAAGCTAGATTTCAATAATTTATTTCTCGTATAATTTCCATACACAGTAGATTAAGGTACGGATCAGTTTGAAGGTAAAAGTTTATTCGAGAGGATAACCTGTTAGACTGCATATCTTTAATTATATAACATAGCAACCTTCAACTGTCCCAAAGAATACAGAAGTTATGCCTTAAGAATGGTAATAACGTCTAAAGGTTAAACACTAATATATAAGACAAACCAAAAGTATGATTTTTAAAAAGGGTTCTTACTTCACTTGAATGTAGCTTACATAAATATAATAAATTAATAAATAGAAATTTTTGGCTACTTATATACTCCCTTTTTCTCAAAGGAACTTTATATCTTCTAATTTTACCCTCTCCACCATCTCCCTTTCTGCATATATTTTTTTGGCTAATTTTTCGGTATCTTTTACAACAACCACATCAGTGTGTCTGCGAAAGTGTAGTGAAAGGATACCAAATTATTTCAAATTAGCTATAGTACCAGTCTGAATCAAAAGTTATGTTTTGAAATTAGAATGGTATATAAGGACGTCATGAACCAAC